GGGGGGGGTCCCTTGTAATAATGCTGCCCGTTAGTAAAAAAGCGTGTACACGCTTTCCATTTTAACAGGACGCAGTGCGCATGACAGCATTTTGTACATGCCGGAACGTTTCATCCAGTGGATCCGTCAAGCTATCCAACTAGCAGATCGCTCAGAGGACATATACCTTGATAGCGGGAGTTGACGAGATGCTGGAAACATTCTGAAACGCATTCATAATCCCCGGCTCATGCCTTCACAAAGCGCTCACGCTTCACGCCTCCGTAGAAATCTGCCTGTGGTGGACAAATTAGCCAGATCTCTCTCTCTCTCTCTCTCTCTCTCTCTCTCTCTCTCTCTCTCTCTCTCTCAGACAGCATGACTATGATGAGCTGACATCATCACCCAGACAGAAATCCGACTCCTTGCCACTGCCAGAGCTGCCCATGATATAACAATCAGCAAATTAATATAGTGTTTCCCCTTCTTTTCTTTTTTTCTTTCTTTTTTTTTTGGTAAGTGTTTTACGGCGCTCGCAACTGCATACGGTCATACGAGTGCGAGGGACACAATAAACTTGTTCAGTTGGTAGGAAATTTTAAACTTTGCCCGGGGGGCGGCCGAAGCCTACTCTTATCGATTTTAGTCTACCAAGGGTTCTTTAATATGCGCAACTTGCACACGGGACCTCCCAAATTTTTCGCCCTTGTCCGAGAAGGCTAAGTGTAGATCTTTCCCACCTGAAGATCAATGGTGTGGCTGAAAGACAGCAGTAAGAAGGAGCCAAGGAGTAGCAGTAGAAAGAAAGGCTGCAGAAAGAGTCCCGCGCCCAGAGGATGGGGCAAAGGAGGTGAGGGGGTGAGGGCAGAAAGAGGAGACGAAAGCAGATGACAGAACATTGCTAGAGAGCAGGAAAGGAGGTGAAAGGAGACAATTTTAGAGAAGAAAATGTTTCCGTCTCTACCCGTATTCGAACCCGGAGCCTTTGAAAGAGAGGCCAAAACCTTAACCTCTAGGCCACGAGAGCCCCTGTTTCCCCTTCATAGCAATGTTAAAAGGTGATACAGGAAAAGAAAAGTGACCAAAAAATTATGTAAAATGGTGTGACATATAGACCTAACATTCAAATTAATTTGATACATATTTTTAAAGCACATTGACGTATCGTGTACAGTAATACCAAGAGATATGAAAAAGCAACACTAAATAGAACACAAAAGCCCTCCCTCCTATTTTCTTTTTTCTTAAGTTTTACAAAGCACAGTCTTGTTATAATTATTAATGGACCGTAAATTTCGAGACAGAGTATTCTCCTAATAATATAGCTTACACATTATTCTAAAATATGACTTTGCACACTAAAATGACGTGACATCGATAGAAATTGTTTAATGAAGAAAGGAAAGGTGGTTTACCCCAAAATCGCTGAGTCAGACAAAGCTCAAATTTGCGAGGCATCTTTAGGCATATCTAAGTGGTGGTGATTACTTGCAAATTCCGTATTTATTAGGTATAAAGTGTAGATTTACAGCTGCCTACATTATTGTTAAGAGACCGGGGGGGGGGGCTTCTTTATACGTAAATATGACCTTTCCGATAAAGCCTTTTAGCAAGGAGGTAAACCGGGAAAACATCTCTAAAATGTAACTTTCATCTTTTTATATTTAAATCTAGGGTTACCATGGTAACGGTGGCCATATTGAAAATAAACAGCTTTCATAAAGTAAAAAAGATTTTTTATTCACCAACAATTTAAATTTGGTACAATGATAGATATACATGTACTCAATATTAAAATTTTATTCAGTTGCGCTCTTGGATATCTTGAATAGGAAAAAAAGTTAGAGATGGATGACTGACCTACCCCTTTCATTCCTCTGAATTCGTTTACATAATCATCCATGAATGCGTCGATTTGTTTTTCCACCTGTACTAAGTTAGGTTATGGTGTGAATAACAAGCCCTAAAAATTACGTTGGAATTAAACTAAACATATTAAAAATTGATGAGAAAAGCTATCGAAAATTGAAAACGGCATTTATTTTGTTACGTAATAAGCAAAATAAAAGTTCAAG